AGGCCTCGGAAGCAACACAACATATCTACAACCATCCGATCTTTGACAAACCTGACAAAAAAAAAGCAATGGGAAAGGATTCCCTGTTTAATAAATGATGTTGGGAAAACTGGCTAGCCATGTGCAGAAAGCAGACACTGGACCTCTTCCTGACACCTTACACTAAAATTAACTCCAGATGGATTAAAGACTTAAACATAAGACCTAACACCATAAAAACCCTAGAAGAAAATCCAGGCGAAACCATTCAGGACATAGGCGTAGGCAAGGACTTCATGACCAGAACACCAAAAGCATTGGCAACAAAAGCCAAAATAGACAAATGGGACCTACTCAAACTCCACAGCTTCTGCACAGCAAAAGAAACAATCATTAGAGTGAATCGGCAACCAACAGAATGGGAAACAATTTTTGCAGTTTACCCATCTGACAAAGGGCTGATATCCAGAATTTACAAAGAACTAAAACAGATTTACAAGAAAGAAACAAACAAACCCATTCAAAAGTGGGCAAAGGATATGAACAGACACTTCACAAAAGAAGGCATGCATGAGGCCAACAAACATATGAAAAAATGCTCATCATCACTGGTCATTAAAGCAATGCAAAGCAAAACTACATTGAGATACCATCTCACCCCAGTTAGAATGGTGATCATTAAAAAATCTGGAGACAACAGATGCTGGAGAGGATGTGGAGAAATAGGAACACTTTTACACTGTTGGTGGGAGTGTAAATTAGTTCAACCATTGTGGAAGACAGTGTGATGATTCCTCAAGGACCTAGAAATAGAAATTCCATTTGATCCAGCAATCCCGTTATTGGGTATATATCCAAAGGATTATAAATCATTCTACTATAAGGACACATGCACACGAATGTTCATTGCTGCACAGTTTACAATAGCAAAGACCTGTAACCAACCCAAATGCCCATCGATGACAGACTAGACAGGGAAATTGTGGCACATATACACCATAGAATATTATGTAGCCATCAAAAACGATGAGTTCATGTCCTTTGTAGGGACATGGATGAACCTGGAAGCCATCATTCTCAGCAAACTGACACAGGGGCAGAAAATCAAACACCACGTTCTCACTCATAGGTGGGTGTTGAACAATGAGAACACATGGACACAGGGAGGGGAGCTGTACACACTGGGGTCTGTTGGAGGGAAATAGGGGAGGGACAGCAGGGGGTGGGGAGTTGGGGGTGATGGCATGGGGAGAAATGTCAGATATAGGTGAGGGGGAGGAAGGCAGCAAATCACACTGCCACGTGTATACCTATGCAACAATCTTGCATGTTCTTCACATGTACCCCAAAACCTAAAATGCAATAAAAAAAAAAGATTTTCCTGTAAATAATGAATCAACTCAAAGTTTTCCATGATGAAATTTAAACGGAGCCAAGTCAATGATGACAGAAAAGTTTAGTTACTGGTATAATTATCTATACTAATTATTCTCTATAAACTAAGGGCTAAGGGAATACGTCAGCATTGTTTTTCAAATGTCAACACCTTAGAGCTTGGTAACAGAATGGTTGCTAGAAATGATGGAATCAGCTCACCCTTCTCTTGGTAGCTACTCCTCTCCTCACAGATATTACTCTCTTCACAAACATTTCAAGAGTGAGTAGATATTTCCTCACTGCTTCATCTGCTCCACTATGGCCTTAAGATCCATCTGCTCCAATATGGCCTTAAGATCCATCACTCCACCAAAACAACTGGTGACCTACAGGTCATTTAATCCATCCAGTACATGCATTTTTATTAGGTGCAACACTGTACCCAAGGAGGCAAAAAAAAAAAAACAAAAAAAACCCAACACCTGAGATATTATAGTAGTTTGTGGCTCTCCAAAAACTCACAGTACATAAACAGAATTATATCCGTGTATTAAAATTATATTGGGGAGCAGTTAGAAAAAATGTCTAAAAAGGTTCAATAGGGGAACAATAATGAAGGCAAGGTTGAGAAACACTGATGGAACATTTTTCAGCCCTAATTTTACTTGCACTCTCAGACACATTTAATATTGCTAATCACTCCCTCCTTCTTGAAAGTTTTCTGTTCCTCAGCCTCTGTGACATAATACTTTCCCTGAATTTTCTTGTATACTTCCCTAGACCTTTCTCTGTCTTCTTTCAAGTCCATCTGCTCTACACTAGGTGTTCCTCAAAGCTCAATTTTAGGCTTTCTCCTTTTCTTACTCTATACCTTCTCCCCAGGTGACTCTATGTATGCCCTCTGCTTCAGTTACTATATACTACCATCTATAACTCACAAAGCTATAGCACCACCATAGATCATTTCCCTGAGATTCAAACCTACTTATCTACCTGCCAATTTGACATCTCTCCTTTGATGTCTCACAGGTATTCTAGGAAAAAAATAAACAGCTTCGGTCAGATTCATAGGTTAAAACAACTGCCAAATACTAGTTTCAGAAGGGATCATAAAATAAAAAATGATAATGCTAAATTTAAAAAGTGATATAAACAATTATTCTATAAGTTTCTTTTCTTCTCTAATGCCTTCAAAGCATTTGTTGTAAATACATGTTTTAGCTGATACACAATAGAAACTAGACTAGGTCAGAAATCAGTATGTCAATTTATCTGTTTTTCCTAAAGCCATGGAGTGAATAAAATTACAGTGATTCCTTGGCTATGCTAAAAGGTATTCTCAAACCAGCATCAGGCTTTCAGTAAAAGAGAGGTAAGAATATAAAAGACTGCAAATGGGTATTTGTACAACTAAAAAACAAGTAGATGTCAATATTTTGAAGAGAAGCCTGAAAATAAAGTGTTATCACAGGGAAACTGGATTTAAAATATATATTCTTATAATTTCAACACCTTAAAAACTCTTGTTAGTCATCTTTCATATATGATAGTGCCACAGCACTAATCCTTTACAAAGTTAAATTAATATAGAGACCTAGAATCAAAAGCAAGGGCTATTTCCGAAGCAATCACAGAAATCTGCCAACATCAATACTTTCAAATAAAAGGATTTCTACTTCTAAGATTAAGAAACAGGTTTATTTACTTCAGGAGTGAAAAGAGGTGCAATTTCTCAAGGAGGTGGAAGAAATATGCCTCTTTGGTATAACAGGATTAAGGTCTAATTTAGCAGTCTAACTTTTTTCTTACTGATCCTGTTTTTCTGTTCAACCTTTCTTCTCTTCTTCCCCAGCTCCAAGATTCTGACAGTATTCTTCCTTATGACTTCCAAAGGAATAAATTCTAACGTCTGATAGCAGAGTAGGGTGAATATAGTTAGCAAAATGTATTCTTTCTTTCAAAATAGCTAGAGAGGACTTGAAATGTACACACCACATAGAAATGACAAATACCCTGACTTGATCATTAAGTATCTAACAAAATTTCACATGTAACCCACTAATAAGTACAAATACAACGTATCAAAAAGGAGAGAAATCACTATTAAGAACAATTTAACATTTCCTACTGGTACTCTCTACTTGGATTCCTTTAAGGATTTCAAGTCCAATAAGCTGCAAACTAAACTTATCCTCATCATGTCTACCACCCTCCTGGCAAATCTGTTTTATAGTACCCCATGTACCTGATGGCCTAAGCCATAAATCTGGGAGCTATCCTTGAATTCTCTTCCAACAAAATCCTATCAAGTCTCTTAACCACTCTTAAAACTACCTCTTCCCCTTTGCTTCCCTGGCCGTATGTGGCAGGCCATGTTGTAAACTTCAAAGACGTTAGGTGATAAAGTCAAATCTGGGGTTGAATCCCAGTTCTGTCACTTGCTAAATGTAGTCTTAATCCTTGGCAAATTACCTAACCTCTCTAGGGCTAATTTTCTCATCTGTAAAATGAAATGAATAATAAAATCTACCTTAAAAAGTTATTGAAACAAGTAGATAACCTAATGCCTCTGAAGCACTCAACACTATGCCAGCACGTTGTAAGCATTCAGTGAATGCTAACTACTGCTACCTTGCAGGATTATTGTATCCACTAAGAGGAGATCATCTATGCAAAGTGCTTGATACTTTGTAAGGACTTAAAATATAATGATATTTTAAAAATTAATTTCACCTCTCGTCTCTACATACATTATTTCAACAACCTCCTAACAGTCATTTTATCTTATCCTCATGATGCCACTGAGCTCCCTAACTGTTTTCAGGGCAAAGTCAAATTTTCTTCTCATGACATAGTAAAGTCTATCATGGTCTTTCCTTATTTTTTAAGGCTCACCTATTGCCATTCCTTTAGCTCCAATCTCATCAAATTCACAAGTGTCACATTCTTTCATGAAGCACTGATTTTGCAATGCTATTCCTTTTGCCTAGAATTCCTGTTCAGCCTTTCCTCTCTCCAATTCCCATTTTGTCCCACACTATTCCCACAAAACCTTCAAAACTCAGCTCAGGAAGTCTTCCCTTTCCTTCTGCCACCCCATATCCCCAACTTTGGCTTTAAAACAGTCTCTGTGTTACCACATATTCTTGTACTTTTTTCCTTCTAATGATAAGCAGCAGTTAACATTTATTAAGCACATACTATATTTGCGATTCTGTACTAAGCACAACTACATGTTACCTCATTTAATCCTTGCAGAAACTTTATAAGGTATATATCGTTATTATGCTTATTGTATAGAGAGGAAACTGAGGATTACAGAAGTAACTCCAAAAGTCACACGGCCGGTAAGTAGCAGAGCTGGGACTTAGACGCATATCTCCCCATGTTCTTAACCACATGCTGTATTGTCTTGTAACACTAAACACATGATGTTATAATAGTCTATTTCCAGTCATGTGTCACAATTATAGAGATACATTCTTTTAAAAAATGTATGGTTAGGCAGTTTTGTCATGAAAACATCCTAGAGTGACCTTCCACAAACCTAGATAGTATAGCCTATACACAACCAGGCTACATGGTATATAGCCTTATTGCTCCTAGGCTGCAAGCCTGTACAGCACATTACTGAACTGGATCCTGTAGGCAACTGCAGCACAATAGTAAGTGTTTGTGTACCTAACATAGACAAAGTACAGCAAAAATACAGTATAAAAGGTTAAAAAACAGTATACTTGAATAAGGCACTTACCATGAATGGAGTATGCAGGAGTGGAAGATGCTCTGGGTGAGTCACTGAATGAGTGGTGAGTGAATGTGAAGGTCTAGGACATTATGATATTACCACTGTAGACTTCATAAACACTGTATACTTATACTACACGAGTTATAAAAATACATTTTCTTTCTTTAATAATAAATTAGCCTTAGCTTACTGTAACTTTTTAACTTTCTAAATTTTTTTTACTTGACTCTTTTATAATAACACTTAGCTTAAAACACAAACATGTTGTACAGCTGTACAAAATATTTTCTTTCTTTGTATCCTTATCCTATAAGCGTTTTCTATTAATTTTAACTTTGAAACTATTTTGTTGAAAACTAAAACATAAATATATGCTAGCCTAGGCCTACACAAGGTCAGGATCATCAATATTATTGTCTTCTGCCACCACATCCTATCCCACTAGACGGTCTTCAGAGGCAATAATACTCATGGAGCTGTATTCTCCTATGATAATGCCTTCTTCTGGAATACCTCCTGAAGGACCGGACTGAGGCTGTTTTACAGTTAACTTTTCTTTTAGAAGTAGAATAAATACACTTAAAATAATGATAAAAAGTATAGTATAGTAAATATATAAACCAGTAATATAGGTGTTTATTATCATCATCAACTATTATGCATTGTATATAATTGTATGTGCTATACTTTTACCCAACTGGAAGTACAGAAGGTTTGTTTTCACAAGCATCACCACAAACACATGAGAAATGCATTACAATGGCTACATCACTAGGTGATAGAAATTTTTCAGCTCTACTATAATGTCATGGGACCAACAGTGTATGTGCAGTCCATCACTAACCAAAACATCTTTATGCAGTGCATGATCGTATTTATCTGCTTCCCCGTTGGTTAGTCAAATTTATCTGGTAAAACCCTTGACAATAGGGATGTGTTTTAATTTCTTGCATACCCTATGTCTAGCATCATCTCTACCAATTAACAGATGCTCAATAAATAGCTGCTAAATTAATGAATGAAATCATGTCATTTTGTTCTCATAACAACTGAGTGAGGTAAAGTGGTTATCGATTCCTGTTTATAAAACAGATGTATGATTATTTTAGAATGCTAAGGTGGTTTTGTCTTCAGGTTAAATAATATAACTTCCATACAAAGAAGGCATAAATGATTTAGTTTCTTCAATAAGTAAAAGGCAAAATTAATTTTTAATTATTTGCCAACTATCAATACAAGATTAAGCCTTCTGATACCATCTGTAAAGCAATCAGACCTTCATATTTTTTTCTGAGGTCAACAGTATAAACCCAAGAAGAAAAACATTATCTAGTAGGAAATGGCAATAAAACAAAAGCCCTTAGCAAAAAAGCTTTCAAAGAAGGTCAGCAGTATTGCTAAAGAAAAGTTTCCCACTGACTATGCCATGTGGTAGACATGTCATGAGAAGATTTAGGTTAGACATAAAACACCCACAGCAGGGTATGTGGGTTCAGTTAAATGAACTGAACTAAATTTCCATTTTGTCTTTTACCTGCTAGCCCATAAAATGCTTACATATGAGCAACATAGAACTGAAAAGATTTTTCGATGCAGATCAGATCACAATTACGGTTAAAAGATTAGGCTATCATAAGACAAACCTGACCTAGGTAAGAGAATGAACTTCCTGAGCTGAGGATCAACGTCCTTAGATACTGAAATTGTTATACTACAACTCTAAATAACATTAAAAATAGAAAAGGTCTTTGAAATATTTAAACAGAATTCTGCTTAAAAGTCTCACACTAGACACCTTGATAAAGACTTTTTTTCCAAGCATCCCCAACCCCAGTCTACATACTTTTTTACTGTGACAGTTTTTGTCAGGTTGCTTTTAGAACAACAGTATTATATTTCAAGGGGGGAAAAATACACAAGGGAAATATTAAACACCTCACAGGAAATCTATTTTCACTGGTGGGTTGCCACACGAAAATTTCAGGAGTCCTTGTAAACTCTTATGCACAATAAATAGGATATTCAGCAGCAAGGGGCCCTCGACCATGCAGATATTGCTTTGTCTCCAATGTCAAACAAACTAGTGATAAAAAATTTGAGAAATTAAGAAATAAAGGAAAGATAGAAAAAAACGATTTGTTTTGTCATCCAAAGACAATTCTTTAACATCTTAGAATATTTTATTTCAGTAGGTTGTTTACTGTACGATTGCTGTCGTTGCAAAAAAACTTTGCTTCCATTTGGTCCATAGTTTGGGAGAAATTCAGGGGTGGTTAAGAAGCTGCCCTGGGGCAAGAGGCGGAGGGAGGCTCAGGCAGAGACTCCAAGTACAGTGGCCTGCAGCAGTGCCCCTCAAAGATCATTGTGCCAATATTTAATTGAGATTTTTTTCATTTATGCTCACAAGAAAAGTTAGTCTGAAATGCTGCTTTCTTGTAATGTCCCTGGTCAGGTTGGTATTAAGATTATGCTGGTCTCTATAATTATTTGAGAAATATTCAATTTTCCATTCTCTGGAAGAATTTATGTAAAACTTCATGTTATTTTTTCCCTTATATATTTAAAAAGTATTCACCAGTGAAGACATATGAGCCTGAATCTGAACCTAGATTTTCCTTTTGAGATATTTAATAACTGATTTTATTCCTTTCAGTGATATGGGATTACTCAAATATCCTATTGCTTCTTGTATCTATTTTAATTGTTTTATCCCCACAGGAGTTTAAGTGTCAAATTTTTAAAATGTAAAGTTGTTTATAATGTTCTCTTACTATGATTGAATGTCTGTAGGCTCTGTAGTAATGGTTCCTTTTCTACTCCTAATAATTGGTAATTGGGTTTTTTCTTTTTACTGATGAGTACAACTGATATATCCTTGGAAAGACAAAATTTTCAAAAGAATCAACTTTTGACTTTGATTTCCTCTGTTGTACATTTGTTTTATATTTCACTGATTTCCGCACTTATTCCTATGGCTTCTTTTTTTCTGATGTAACTTGCAGCTTTTCCCAAGCTTAAGACGGAAGGTTAAAACACTGACTTGTAGCCTTTCTTATCTTCTATTAATTGTAATCAAGGCTTTGACATTCCCTTTAAGCACTGCTTTAGTGGCATCTGAAAAGTTTTAATATGATTTATCTTCATTATTATTTTCTCAGAAGTATTTCCTAATTGCCACTATAATTTTTTCTGTGATCCATGACCTTTTAGAATTACACTGCTTATTGATTTTTACAGTAATATCACTAGACTTACAGAACATACTTTGAAAAATAACCCAAAGTAAGATCAAGTTTAGAAAATGTTCCATGGGCACTTGAAAGGAATATATTCTGTCACAATTCAGTGTTTTTACAAATGTTTCCACTTTTCTTAAATTCCCAGGCATAAATTGGTCGTGTCATATAGTAGGTCTATGCTTAACTGTATAAGATGTTAAAACAGTTTTCCAAAGTGTTTGTGCTCTTTTCTACATATGCATGAATTACAGCTGATTTTATACTACCAACACATGAGTTACAGCTGTTCTACATCCTTGCCACTATATGGTACTGTTAAGTTTGTTGCCTTTACCTCCCCAAGCTATTCTAGTGAGTCTGAAGTGGTACCTCATTGTGTATATAGTGAGTTTTTATTTTGAGATTATGTTTTTCTATTTGATTCTATTTTATAGATTCCAGTTCTTTGTTGAAATTCTCCATATTTCCATCCATTTTCTCCATGTCTTCCTCTAGTTACTTGAGCACATTAATCAATTATTTTAAAGTCTACTAATACTAGTATCTTCTATCATGTATGAGTCTGCTTCTGTTGTCTTCTTTCTCTAGGCTTTTGGACATCTAGTTCTTTCTAAGGATATACTTAGAAACTTTTGATTAAATACTGAATATTGTTTTAAATTTTTTAGAGGCTCTAAATGATGTTATCCATAACCAGAGAGAGTTCACACTTTTCTTGGCTAGGAAGAAAGTACACAGTTCATCATCTTAATCTAGTCCAGACATCAGCAGAATCAAGGCTGCTTTGTAATTTAGGTAAGGTTTATTCTATTGCCTGTTAGACCATCTTCTTAGTGTAAGCTCTCCCTAGCTTTCAACTGAAAGCCTGGTATGTACATTGGGCCCTTTCTCCCCTCCCCCAACCCAGTGGATCCTAAACTCTGCAACTACTCATCATCACAGACTAATTAATTCTTAGTCTGCTTTCCACATATTTTCCACTGAGCCTTCATGCTTTCTTAGACGTTGGCAAATGTCATGAGGAAAAAACTGATCAAATGTTTGAGACCCTCAAGTCTCCACTTCTGTTTGTAGCTCAACACCAAAATCTCTGCTTGTTTCTCTGTCACCCAGCAGTAGCCCTGTGCCTGATCCAATGTCATGCTGAAACATATTTTGAACACTCCTAAAGAAATATTTAGTTCCTATTGTTCCTAGAACTTTAGTTCTTTATTTTCATATGTATATAAATCAGATCTCCCTTAACATTTCACGTGCTCCTCAAACTCATGGTTACAAACTGAATTCACTAGCTTCCTGAAAACTTTGTTCGCTGAACATTCTCTATTTATATAATGGTACTAACCATTCATTTAATTATCTAAGAAGAAAGTTAGAAACTACCCTTGACCCCTCTCTCAACACCAAACCCATCAAGACTAAGAATTTGGTCATCAAATTTTATGGATTCTACTTCTTAAATATTATTAACTATATCACTCTCTGTTCCCAGTGCCCTCATCCTCCACCACAACTACTATAATAATTTCTTAACTGAACTCTGCTTTAGTTTTCTTTTTTAGATTATTCTACATGCAGCTCCAGAGTGATCTTTATAAGATTCTAATCAGATTATAGGACTTTTGCCTTAAAATCTTTTAACAACTTTGTTATAGATTCTCTGCTACCTCACTTCACTTGGGGTTTTGCCACCCCAAATTTTTATTTTATTTCCCAGACATATCTAATGCTTC